AGCTGAAGAGTTTGTTTTTTTGTTTGTTTGTTTGACACGCTAATCTCCGAAACTACTGGTCCGATTTGAAAAATTATGTCTGTGTTGGATAGCCCATTTATCGAGGAAGGCTATAGACCTATATATAAAATATCACGCTACGATTTATAGGCGCTGAGCAGAGCGAGTGAAACCGCGCGGAAGTAGCTAGTAATATAATATCTAGTCATTCTGAGCTGATATGTTGTAAAAAATAACTGTAGTTATATTCCAAAGGTCCATGATGAATTGTCTGAGAATCAATCACTATCACTCAATCCGTATCGAAGTATCGAACTTACGTAAGTAGATAGAACAGATTACCTATCTGTAACAGTTCGTCTAACTTCGTTCAAGATGACTCATAGCTCTTTGTTATTAATAGGCTCATGTTCTTCAAGCTTGTAAAGTTAGAATAAGTAGCACAGCACCTAAGTAGTACCTTGCTAATTTTTTTTTTTAAAGATTGAAAGAGCAACTGCCTATAATAAAATGGGCTCTGGATTTGGTCTTTCGTTTGGAGATATTATTAGATATACTTATTTTATTTTTAATCGATTTCAAAAAAGACGGAGGTTCTCGTTTTTACCCGTATGGATGTATGTATGTTTGTGCGCTATTATCTCGTGATTGGCTGACCCGATTTTAATGCAGTTTACAGAAAAGTGTTTATTACATTTAAGAGAAGATTTTAGTATATTAATAAACCGACCCCAAAAAAAGGGGCCTAGAAAGCTAGGAAGATTATAAAAGAAGTATAATCACGAAAAAATATTATTAGATTTTTAATTTAAAACGTCATACTTTGTCATGAAACACTATCTTGAGACGTTTCTTTTCTTTTTTTGAGTGGGGAATAAAAAATAGATTTAATTTATATGTAACGATTTATCTTAAATCAGTTCAAGTATCTAAATATAGTCTGCTAGAATAGAAACAAGGTAAATAAAAAAGGAATAAAACTGATGATGACAAGGTAAAATTCATTATTTCGTTATCTATTTATTAGTTTTATTTTTTTGCAGTATTAGCTAAATATACAATAGTTAGCTACATATAAATATTTATTTTTCCTCATAACCATTAGTTTTTATCTTGTGGTTTATATATGTATAAAATATTTTAGATTTAATCAGCTGACGCTGAAATACTCAAACGCTATTGAATTTTAAGTCGGGCTTAAGTATAATTCTGTCGCTTCAAGTTCTTTGTATAATGACAGAGAGAGATTTTTTTTTTTTTTTTTTAGGGGGGAAAATCATCGAATGACTGCTCCCGCCTGGGTGAGGCGGGAGGGAGTGTCAGACTCTTACTGACTAAAAACCACCCCGTTCCTTCTCCTGCACGTCGAGCCGGAGCCCCGGTTACCCGTTAGGTTCTCCGCGACTCCGAATCGGCAGCCTTTCAGAGGCGTACGAGTACGAGTTTGTTTTACGTTTAAAGTATTCGTAACGAGTACGCGTTCGGCGCTCTGATTGGTTGGTTCATTGGCGCCGGCCAATCAGAGGCCTTAGTACGAGTTTTTTTTACATTAAAAGTAATCAAAACGAGTAAGCGTTCGGCGCTCTGATTGGCCGGCTCCAATGAACCAACGAATCAGAGCGCCGAATGCAGTCTCGTTTCGAATACTTTAAACGTAAATGAAACTTGTACTAAGGCCTCAGTATTCGGGCGTGTATGACACGAAATCGTGGTTCATGTCAGAAAAATATTGTTAATCCTTGCAAATAATATAAAAATGCGAAAATAAGTATCTGTTTTTGTTTTTTACCGTGTCGCAACTGTATGAACGTCACAACTGTTTAGGTATTATAGCTAATATTTTTGTATTTAGACTCAGAGATTCGGTTGATGCAGTGGCTGGGCAACCGGCTGTCGCGCCGTATCCCTGGTTACATTCCCGCAGGAAGCCATTCTTTGTGTGATTCACAAATTATTGTTCCGGATCTGGGTGTCTTGTGTATTTGTGAACTTGTATGTTTGTAAATGCACCAACGGCACAGGAGAAAATCCAAGTGTGGGTTGCCGTTAATTTTATTAAACAAAAAACAACAATATAGGAGCCTATGTGGAGTGATACAGGTACTTATTTGGACTACGATTATTAAAATATTAAGTTATTAACTTTGTAAATACATATTCCTACAGATATTTATCTTCGATGTTCAACAAGAAACTAACGCGTGTATAATGAGGTGGGTACGAGTACGACGCATAACTTGACAAAAGTTACCGGTTTTCATAATTTATTCTGCCTACTAAAGCAAATGTATGTTACGCAATATTAGTTAATAGGAATTTTATTCTAAATCTGAACATTATAATCAATAATGTTTTACGTAACATTCATTTAAATATTGTATTTGAATTGACAGAAGAGGAGGTTTTTTAGCTAAAATGGTGCCTAGGTAGGTATTGAAATACTATCTACATATTGTGTAGTCAAACTCAACATAAAAATATGTACGTACTGGTAGTAGAAATCCTAAAAGCATATTTTGTTTGTCTATTTTGGTATATAAAAAAAGTAATAAACATGCTTCTATAATATAGTAACTTAGTCCCTGCCTCGGTGATAAACCTACTTACACAAATTTCTCGAAATATATAGTTATAGACATGCAAGTATAAAACAAACGCTAAGGAGCATAAATCTTTTGAATAAAAAAAATTGTAAACAAATTAAAATCATTTTGTATCACAAAAGAATTTTTCATTAAAAGTCTAATAATTATTCATTAATTATTTTGCATTTAGAATACAGGCCACATTTAATTTTGCAATGTTACCACAAAATAAAAACAAAGGTTAGATGAGTAGGAAATACATATAATTCTATTTGATGACCAACCTTGACATGTTTTTAAGTGTCTCTAACTTTTTACATCCGTTGATTTAATGATTTGTTTTGAATATAAATAATTATGGACGCAATGTTGCATACGATTTAATTTCTAGCACATTCTGAAAGGTTAGCAACTGCCTATTTGATGACACGTGTTGTGTTGGCCCCGTTCAAATAATATCCTACAGAGGTTTCACCAACATTATTTTATTAATAAAGTAATTCAAGCTATAAGAATCGGCATTATTACCGCGTTTATTAATCCCTATGTATTTTCCGAAACGAATTATAACAGTCTTAACTATTTAAACTGTCAAACACCAAGCGGTCACCGGTGACCGCAACCTATTGTTCTATAATTGTGTCTACAAAACTGGTACTCGACGAGTTAAAATGTTAAGCAAAATCGCGGGTTACTCACGTGAATATACTGAGAACAGCTCTACTAGTTTCGAACCACAGAGTGATTCTTCCTCATGAGCAACGTGCGTGGTCGCGGCGACGTCGCGCAGCTCACTCACGATAGTTAATATAAAAACATATTTTAAATGTATTAAAAAATAAAAAAAT